ATTTATTCTAGCCAATTCGTTTAGAAAAAGTAAAACAAAATAAGTATTATAAACATGTGGTATTATTCAAGCCATGATAAAAAAAAAAACCAAAGTAATAATAATACAATTACGTTTCACATGTATAAATGTATTTAAATACTTAATATCATACACAATTTATATATCATAATAATAATAACTATTATTATTCTAGCATATTTTCAAACATCCCACCGAATATATGCAACGATGAAGGAAGGAAGGAAGGAAGGGTGGTAGGGGTGGTAAAGGGTGGTTGATAGGTGGAGTTTAAATTGGAAGGAGCCGGAGGGCGTCTCTCTCGTATAGAGTTAACTAAGCCTGTTGTATTAAAGGGCCAGGGAGGGAATATTCTAGCCGAATATAGATACACACGATCGCCACTCGTTCATGGTTATCGCGTTGAGAATAGAATCGACTCGTTGGTTGGTTGGTTGGTTGGTTGCTTGCTTGGTTTCCCTCGATTATCATAAATTTACCATGGTGGACCGTATCAACCTTCCTCTCTCTCACACACTTCCCCCCCCTGCCCCCTTCCCCCTCCCCATCATCCTATCTTTCTGTCTATCTTTCATTCTACTATCTCTATCTCTAGGGTGTTCACTTAACTCAACACATTATTTTGTTAAATTATTCTATTATATTTTCCATAATATTTTTTTCTTATGGAAAAATGAAAGATGAATGAAATTGTTATTCATGTAAGTAAAATAAACAATTATTACGGGACAATATTTTTTATATAATCTTTTTTATCTTTTTAATTAACCCTTCGAGTGTGTTGAATAATTGAAGATGAAGTGTTTTATATAGATATGGAATAATGTATTGTTATTAAGACTTGTTTTTTTTTTTCCATTGTGTGTGATTGATATTCATAAATTATATTTAATAATTAAAGTTCTTCTTTTTTTTCCTTAATATTATTTTCATTTGACAAGACTCAAAATAATATTAATCAATATGCAAAAGAAAAAAGTATTGACAAACACGTATATTACTTTTATCAAAAGTAGTCAAAGGGTTAATAAATTTTGTTATACCTCAATACAAATTATTCGTAAGATAAAACAAACCGAACGATAATATATATATATATAGAAAAGAATAATCTTACACTTACGATTGAAAAGTATCGTTTAAATAATATCAATATTGAATAAATATATTAATACATTTCTTTATAATACGAATTATTTATCACGTATGATAAAACAATAAGTATATAAACGTACGATCGAACAAAAATATAATATATACAAAAACAAAATATCTCGTATCTCGATGTTAAAAAACGTGTACGATAAAAAAAAAAATACGTACAATAAGATGATATAATAATATCAATTAGATGGTGTTGAAAATATTAGATGGCATAGAAAAGCAACAAGCAAAAAAAATGAACTCGCGTTTAAATTCAAGGATAAAGATCTACGAGCCGAAAGAAAGAAAACAAAAAAAAACTACGATCCCTTAGAGAGATTTAGAAGAGAGAGAGAGAGAGAGAGAAAAAGCTCCCGCGGATGATAAATTCCATCTCGAGGGAAAAGTAAAGAGAGAGAGAGTACGAGAAGAAAAAAAAAAAAAAGAAGAAGAAGAATAAAAAGAAAAAAAAGAAAAGGAAAAACATAGTTTGATATCGATGAGTGAAAAAAAGGTGGTGGAGAATAACCTGGAGTAAAGGATATAGGTGTGTAAAAGAAAGTAGAAGGAAGGAAGAAAGGGAGCAAGGGGGAGGTTGAGAAGAGGGAGGGGGGTATTGCAAAGTGAGGACAGGCAACCTTAACGGGATAAAGAAACTCACGATGCTGATATCATCCTCCTATCTGCTATCGTCAATGTGTATGTACACCCATAGTGAACAAATAAAAACTTTGCCAGGAGTTTCTTGCACTTGGAAAGCTTCCCCCCTGAATTTTCTTCTTCCAACTTCCGTACAGTTCCTTCCCCCTGTCCCTCCCCTCTCCCCCACACTCATCCTCACCCCTTTTTTCTTCTTTTTCTTTTTCTTCTACTTCTACTTCTACTTCTTATTCTGCTTATTGCTATAGTCAACGTGAAACTTGGAACTTGGTAGTATTCTTTTTCTTTTCTTTTTTTTTTTCTTTTTTCTTTTTTTTTTTCGTTTTTTTTATAACCCTCCCCTTTTGGCCCTTCGAGATTATAAGGGTTATCGACCTGAACTTAATACGTACACTTATCACGCTGCAATGATCTTGTTAAGAGAACTTTTTGTCTCTGTGCCTGTAACTGTGTGTGTGTGTGTGTGTCTGGTTTTTTTTTCTCTTTATCTTATTCCACTCAACGTGGTATGACCATTGAACGGGGAAAAAAAAGAAACGACGGCAGTGGTGGTGGGGGGGGGGAGAGTTTCTTTTCTTCTTTCTTTTTTTTTTTCTTCTTTTTTTTTTTACCTCTGTGTGCAACGAATGAGAAAGAGAAAGAGAAAGAGAAAAAAGGGAAAAAGCTGAAAAGCTTAGCCACGGTTAAATAGACGAGCTTTTATTGGCTTTGGGAAGCCCGGAGAAAGCACGACGTAGAAAAGGGCCTGTACCCGTTTGCGGCTAAGCACAATCCCCCTCTCTCTCTACCCCTCTGACCTACCCCCTTCTACCACTACCCTAGTTCCCAAAACCTAAACGAGCAGAGAAATGTTTAAACGAACTTTGAGAATGTAACTTTAACTCGTGAAAATGTTTGAATTTTATTTAAATATAATCGATTAATACAACAAGCACAAAATTTATTTTTTTTATTTTTTCGTTCAATTCGACGAATGAATTGAATGAATGAATTAATTAAAATTTCTGGTTTTTAAATGTTCCAACCTCTTTTTTTTCTGTTCGTAATATAAAAATAAAAGCAAAAACAAAAGGAAAAAAATCGAATTGAATTGTGACAAGAGTTGTATATGCGTGTGTGCGTGTGCCATATTTAATCGTTAAAAAATAACATTATCATTATTATTATTATTATCATGATTTGATCTTATATGGACAAATACGAGAATCCCTTTTTATTACGCGAATAGTACTATTATCATTAATATTATTATTATTATTATTATTGTTAAAATAGCATAGACGTAGGAATAAAGAATTTGAGTTGGGTTTAATATTTTTGGTTAGATAAAAGGAAGAAAAGTAAACACATTCAAATAAGTAGGTACTACGTATAACTGCGTTTATTTTACTCCCACACACACACACGTGTGTGTAGTATACGTGTTTATGATCTTTCTCTGTCTCTCTTTATATAGGATTTATTTGCATGGGAGTAAATGATACGTGGAAAGAGAGCCAAGCTAATTAATTAGTCGGCCGTTCGACGCAACAAAAAGGACCGTTTCAATCTTTTTCTTTTTTTTTTTTTT